TTGAGAATTTCAAATGTTGCCTGGAAAATACAAGGTGAATATGGCATAGATTAATACTTGGTATTAAATCTGCCATATTGGTGGATAATTGTTGACAAACTAAAAGTGCAGCCCAAATTAAATGGCCTAAAGAGTGAGGCCCAATTGGAGGGTCCAGGATAAAAGCCCAAATAAGATTATTGGTGAAAGTGGAGGAAGCCTACTAACATAGCAACATTATCGCTTAAGCGTGCAAGACGTCCAGAATCTGAGCGAACGGAATGCCTTACGGTGGCCTAGAACGATGACCTCGTTCTCGCCAAAACCTTCAAGTCGCCCAGAATCTTAACGTATGAGATATTATGGTCAACCAGAATAGCAGTTATTGAAGCAGTTATCGAGCGGATTATCACATTTCACGATTTAAGGAGCCCATTTGAATGACAAAGAATAATAACAGCAGTTAGAGATGACAGTTCCACGATACGTTAGCCACCATGAAGAAAGTGGGTAGTTATAAAACAATCAAGCAGTTTTCAAGCGGTTTGTCACGAAAAAATCATCATAGGAATATAAAAATGAAGAAAAGATATAGAGAAAATGACCCCCAGTTAAACACTGTCAAACAGAGAATATGTAATTTCAANGAAAGCCCGGAATCAAACACTCTCAAATAGAGAATATGTAATTTTAATTTTTTAGATTAACTCTAATTATCCATTTTCAGTACTCGTGTGCTTGCGTCCCTTGAAGGCATTCTATTTATTTTCAATTGTAACTCTCATCAATAAAACACCCCATTTTTTGGATTTTGTCTTAAGAGGTTTGTCCCTTACACAATCGTCTGAATTCTTTTTTAATTATTAGCGACTACCCGCGTGAAACAGCAACTTTGTCGTATTTTTGCATTTTTCATATATATGCATCTGGGATGAATCACGTGGGGTGGATGGGTGTTGGACTTGGCGGCTGCTAGACAATGAGCTATCAGATAGTCGCATTCCATTTTGTCAAATTTGATTCCACGAATACGCTTTCTTCCTGCCTTTTCTTTCTTTACAGTTAAAGCAACCTCAGAAGTTACTGTATTTGACATTATATCCTTTCTTTATAATAATAAGATTTA